ACAACGACTTAGGGAAGATAATTTGCAACCCCGAATTCCTGCACGAGGCCCGCTCTTAACCGTGGATCATCGCAGAGCCCGGCTAAATTTTGCTAGAGAGCACGTCAACTGGGTAAAAGCGGATTGGGAACGAGTTCTGTTTACAGATGAGTCTAGATTTTGTCTATACACATGTGATAGACGCGTTCGTGTGTTTCGACGGCCAAATGAAAGATATGTCCAATGTAACTTCCTTAATACGACCTTATTTGGTGGGGGCTCAATTATGGTGTGGGGAGGTATTTCTTTAACAGCACGTACCGACTTAGTGGTGATAAATAATGGCAACCTTAATGCTGAGCGTTACATTTTGAACATTCTGGAAAAACATGTTGTGCCATATGCCCCTTTTATAGGTCTAATTTTTTTACTAATGCAGGATAATGCACGACCACACACTGCCCAGGAAGTCCGAAATTATCTTGCTGCCGTTGGGATTAATGCTATGGCCTGGCCAGCTAGCAGTCCAGACCTTAACCCTATAGAACACATCTGGGACATTCTTGGGAGACGTTTAAGGGACCATCCAAACCTTTCGAATAACTTAGAGGATGTAGAGCGCCTTCTACTGGAAATTTGGGAGAATTTTGACCAAAATAAATTCGAACCCTAATTTTGAGTATAAACAGAAGATGTAAGGCTGTCATTCGTAGTAGAGGTGGAAATACCCAATATTAAGTACAAATTTTTAATTTTTATAAAAATCGTATTCTGTTAATTTTTAATTATTATTATTTTTAGGGATTTTTTTCTGACATTATAAATAAAAACCTATTTTTAAATAAATATACAGATAGTGTGTACCTTTATCTTTACCATTTTCAAAACATATTAAAAATAATAAATTATTTTTGGTGTGGTGCGTTAATTTCTTGGAGAAGTGTATATTCAACTATATAAGTTACTTATCAAATTTTAATAACAATTACCAATACTAAAAATCAAATGCGCAGCCAAGGCTGCTACAATATAACATATAACAATAGGTAATGCAATTATACGTTAGACAAAATAAAATAAAGTAGAGGTGAGATATGTAATGAGTAAATCAATTATAATAATAAAATAAAATAAATAAATAAATGGGTGATACCAATGGTACTCCCGGCGCAGTAACGCCTGCGACAACCTGTCTAGGTATGGTCTAGTGGTAACGTCTAATCAGGTAGGTATCGTAGCCGGTGGAGTTGTCACAATAAGGGTGGGTGAGGCGGCAGGCGTCGGGCTCAGTCATACCCCTTTTGTCTCAGATGCGTCGTTTTCAGGGTGTACAGGGTAATACGGACTACCTTCGCAGTATTGGAATCTCACGGTCACCAAGGTCAAATAAGTGTGAGGGTCGATCCAGGACATAAAAGTCAAAATCCGGATATGGTCAAAAGATACGATAAGGTTGACTATATGCTATATATTTGGACCCTAAAATTACACAAACAATATACCGCATGGCATCAGCCAGAATAAACCTACTTACGCTGGTGTCTTGACCAATTGAACGAAAGGCTTGACACGATGGTGTGTGCGATCGAAGCGTGGCGCTTTGGAGGAACCGTAAAACTAAATAGAACCACATGAGGACAATACGAAAATTAAAAAAACAATATGGCTTACCCTGTAATAAATATATGATCCAAAATAAATCCGTGAGAAATCCACAATCAAAATTAAAAATAAACAATCCTCAACACACCTCTATTCGATTCAGGACATAAAAGTCAAAATCGGGTAATATATACGGATATGGTCGAAAGATACGATAAGGTTGACTATATGCTATATATTTGGACCCTAAAATTACACAAACAATATACCACATGGCATCAGCCAGAATAAACCTACTTACGCTGGTGTCTTGACCAATTGAACGAAAGGCTTGACACGATGGTGTGTGCGGACTAAGCGTGGCGCTTTGGAGGAACCGTAAAACTAAATAGAAACATGTGAGGACAATACGAAAATTAAAAAAACAATATGGCTTACCCTGTAATAAATATATGATCTGAAATAAATCCGTGAGGAATCCACAATCAAAATTAAAAATAAACAATCCTCAACAAACCTCTATTCTTCTGCGAAACCTGATTAATCCTATTAATACTACTTGTATGTCTCAAAAGGCACTTAATATTTAAGATTTTGCATTTTTGATCTTAAAGGTAACACGGTTAAAACAAAGATGAAGCCGGAAATATGGTTAAAGGAAATGGCTTGAAACTTCAAGGCGGAATTGCCCAAATGCCCTAATTAAGTCCAATGATCCTTTACAGTCTGGTAAAGTAACTGACATAAAAATGTAGAATTATATTACTAAAATTTTATACATGTGAGTTACCACAATTGAGGGGCTCGGTGCCAGAACCGGGTATTTCCACATTCGGAAAATGTTCAGGAAAAAAGAAAAGCCTTGGTAGAAATTATTTTGCACAGTATAATTTCTGCGGTATCTCCTGTATCTGATATATTTAGTTAACGCTAACGTGGATCTACACGGTTTGTGCACCGAACGATGCTGACTGCTGAAGGGTGTATCTTCATATACCCAACTCAATTTAGCAAAAATATGGAGATACCCGGTTCTTGCACCGAGTCCCTCAATTGTAAAGTCATGATTTCCAAAATGCATGATTCACACGTTACGAATGTCAATGGGACTGCGTTTTGCCTTAAAACTTCAACCGCTTAGATTATAACCTACAACTGACAGATGATTACAAACAATACATTTTAAAGCCAAAAAAGTTGTAAATGACCAAAACTATGTCCAATATTAGACTAGATTAAACAGAAGGTTACCAACACATCACAAGGTTTCAAATAATCCGGACAAAACGGGTAAGTAATTCCATAAAATTTACGTTCAACCATTACAATACTACTAATTATTTACTTTAAGGTCAAAATCACGCGATATACAACAACAATAAACTAAGAAAACCAGTATCTGAATATAGCATTAAATAAATAAAAACAATAAACTACCAAATAATATTAATGATCGGAATGTCACAATAAAGAAAAATATTAAGTAAAACCATGGATTTTATTGTTACAAAATATGTTCAGGTAAAAATAGCTGTACAATTTTTGATAATTTTTAATAAAATAACCCTAAACAAAAAATGAAACGTTAAAACTCCTACATGGAAGACCAAATAGCCGAACAATGTGCTGTTTTAGGCTATCAGCAACAAAATGTAAATGTCAGTCACGTAGTAATGGCCAACGGATATCGTATCCCGATACCGGGTAGTTATCCATTAACATTTTCATTGGGCGCACACAAAGTTTCTGAAATATTCGGGCACTTGCCCAAACTATCTTCTGACTGCTAATCGGAATGGATTTGCTGACAAAGTATAAAATGACCCTTGACGTAGCCAACCGTACGTGATGTATCCCTCCAAACATCTTCACGTCATATCACCGTATTAATTCGTGGAAAACACCGACATTCCTAAAAATGCTTTGGTGCTTACAGACCGAGAGGAAGCGCCGGAATTTGAGAGGATCAATTTAATCAATTACGAGATCCGATTAATAAATCCGATAAACCCCCGTATGCAAGAGATTATTGACTCTAAAGTCATTAAAATGCTTGTGGACGGCATAATTGAACCCGTAAACAGCCCTTGAGTTTTACGGTAGTAATTGTACGTAAAAAAAGGACGGAAAACCCCATTTTTGCATTGATTTTCAAAAAATCAATACCGTAACCTGTAAGGACGCATACCCACTTTTGTTTATAAATGCAATCCTTGATAAATTGAGAACAGCCCGTTACATTTCCAGTCTAAGTTACTGGCAGATACCGCTCGCTAACGAAAATAAACCGTTTAGTTTCGCCTATTTGGACGATATAATCATCCTATGCAGAATGTTCACCGAACACTTACAAAATCTAAAAGAGGTTTTTAGCCACCTCTGTGCCGCCGAGTTAATCCCGAAAAATGCCAATTTGGCAGTAAATTACTCAAATATTTGGGGCATTTGGATACTTCTAATGGTATATAAACCGATCCCGATAAAGTTAAATCTATCCGCAAGCGATTGGAGGTTTAACAAAACCCCAAGGTATTTCCCGACAAGAATCTACCGGATTTCCCCAGCATTCTTAAATTTTGTCAGGGAACTGAAAGTTCCCAAAGCTATTTATCTTAATCCTGATTCTGAAGACTCTGATGACCTCGAACCCGAACTCGCCGAAACTGACTCTCCGCATGCAGGCGATTTTTGAACTAGTCAGTGTAACTCTCGCCAGAGCTTTTACCACCCAAAGTCATCATTATGAGACGCAGGAAATGGTGTTGCCATATTGGTGACCAGGTAATAAAGTGAGAGGTTCATTATATTATAACACTCATAAGTTTATGTAAAATGACTTAATATTAATACTAGTAGTTGAAAAGTCAAATTATTAAACCTCCGTATAAAAATAAAGCTGATGACATGATGACATTTTATGTTAGTTTAACATAACCTAACAATGATGTGTCAAAATATTAAAGAAATATTCTAATTAAATTCTTGAGAAAAAATGGTATATAAAACCTGGCGGTAAAAGCTTATTAATTTCCTCGCACACAATCTACTGCTAGGGCCTAGGTAGTAAAATGTATGCTCGTCTATAATATGAGCTTCTCCTTTCTAATGTACCATATTAGTTAAAATTATCAGTAAATCGTTGGTGGTAATAACCAATGCCTTTTTTTAGAGTTATTAAATGTCGAGAGGATAATAAAAAGTTTAATACATTTTAGGCTGTGAGTTTTTGAATAGCCTCGGCTAAGCACGCTTTTCCTCGGCCATTTAAAAACAACTCGCACCTAAAAGTAAACTTTTGCATCTGGTAATGTAAATAACTATATATTATTATAATCAATAAAAAAAACACTTTTCTTTTTAAGTTTATGTAAATATTTAACTTTTGCCGAATGCAATATATTAATGAGGTAATTACTTACTTTGGACTTTTTAGATCTCTATGAATAATATTTTGCATATGCAAGTATTGCATTCCGTTTGCAATTTGTTTTGTCCAGGTTACCACTCTATTTATGGTTATTATATTTGATTGATCTTTAAGTAAATTAAATAAAGTACCGAAGGGACAAAATTCCATAACTATACAAAAACATGGTTCTTGAGTACAAACTCCTATAAATTTAACAACATTTGGATGATTTAATTTTCGAAGATTTTTAATTTCGGTATCTTTTAATTCGTTTACTTTTTTTACAGCCACAGGATTTTCATCAAGCATTCCAAAAAATACTGCTCCTTGTCCTCCACACCCAAGAAATTGAAGTTGGGTAATTTTTTCAAAAGAAATTTCCCAATCATCTAAAACATTGAAAAACGATTTTAATCTAATATTTTTATTGAATACAATTGTAAATGTACTGTAGGTAATTATATTTTTACATAGAATAACGTCTCTGATGGCGTGGTATGTCGTCCTTTTTCAGCCACTAACATTTTTGGATCAAAAATCAGTATTGTAAATAACAACAACAAAATCTAGGGATGTTTCGATCAACCAAAAGTACAGATAATTATCAGATATATCAGGTCTACAATGATTTTGGTGCAAATAAAAGTATAACTGATTTCAAGTACATTCGGTACCCTGATAAAAACTTGATACTTACTTTTTTAATGCTACGTGTAGTTTTCGAGATTTTTCAAGGGTAAATAAATTAAAAAGAATTTAATTAATTTATTTAAAAACAAAAGAACATTTAATTCAAAACATTTAATTACATCTAATTACTCATTATTTTACAGGTTAGAAGCTTCTCTTTTTAGATTTTTCCGATGGATGTCTTCAGAACATTCCCGTGTAATACTCCAATAGTAATCTGCCATCATGTGCTCATCCCAGCGACCTTGGTGTCTTTATTCCATCACCTTTAAATCTTGATGGAAACGTTCTCCTTGTTCTTCGCTATACGCTCCAAGATTTTCAGGAAACTTATCCAGATAGTGTACTTTTATGCTCATATTATCCAAGATTTTTAAAGCTAATTAAGAGGTTTGAACTAACTCTTTGTAATTTTCAACCTTCTAAGTTCCTAAAAAATTTTTTACAACAACAACAGATTTCCAAGCCGCTGCTTCTAAATTATTCATTAAAAGTATGAAATCATTGTCTTTCATTAAAAGTCTTATCTGTGCCATCAAAAATACCAGCTTTAAGTTTTTCGTAACTTAAACCGGGAAACTTTCTTGAAAGATATACAAAACACGGACCAGTTTTATGTAATGCCTTAAAATATTGCAAGTCCCAATTTAATGTGCAATGGAGGCAAAATAATCTTATCTCTAGAAACTAAAGGCAGGTTTATAATATTTTGTTTGATAACCATCATATTATTTCTCAAAGGCCAATCTTTCTTGATCCAGTGGTCTTTTTTTGCTCTGCTGTCCCATAAACATATGAAGCATGGAAATTTAGTTTACCCTCTTTGTTGACCTAATAGAAAGTTGACAATTTTTAAATCGACACATACAGGGTGTGGCAAAAAGGGTGCCCCATTTTTAAAGGGTGATTGACTCGTTGGCATGCCATTTTCAGACTTCACAATTAATCTGTCAGAAATATTTGGGAAGTCAATAAAAATCAAACTAAGAAAAAGCTTTCTATTTTTTAACACAGGTGGCCGGAAAGAAAAAAAGTTTTCCCACGATGCCAAAAAAAATCATTGGTACCTTGTGATTCCTTAGCATCCCCTGAGACAAGAAAACTTCCTTCCTAAATTGTAGCTGTTCATTTAGGGAAGAATCACCCCTTTCTGTGTTTCAGGGGTTACCAATTTTTTTTCGAATGATCAAAAATGTTTTTAAAATAATTTTGACAATATCTATTTAATTCTAGCATATGTGTATTCTTATAGGGGTTCTCTATTTAGATACAAGCTGTCACCTATACGAAAGATTCACAATCCATATATCAAACAGTTAAACTGCAAAAAGCGGAAGGGGGTTTGACATATGTCATGATATGACAACCCAACAAATTAATAGATAATTTGTTTTCTTGAGAAGTGAGTTATATAATTAGTATAAACTAGTAAATTAATATATACCTATATATATATATTTACTAGTAAATTAATATATACATATATATATATTTGTGAACTTTTCAAAATGCCCCATCCTTGTGACCACCGTTGTGACCATGAAGAAAATAGAAGGAAGCTTTGTGCACCGTGCGGGAGAAAAATTAGTCTCGGAAATCTAAAAATGGAATATTTTCGTATTACAGAAAATGGCGAAAAGCTTATACAGCAATTCATAAATACCAATTTTTCTATCTCTAATCCTAAATATCCTCTTAGCATTTGTTGTAATTGTCGCAAGATACTTGCAGAACATTCTAAAAATAATTTTCAAAGGCCTTTTAAGACAATGCCGAATTATGAAGACATTTTTCTGCCGAAAAAAACTAGAGCAAGTGATGAAGATGCAATTTGCCAGTGTTATATTTGTTTGACAGGGCGTCACAAAGGATCAGTCAATATGAAAAAAAAATAAAGTAGGTAACAGCCTGAATTTATCTCTAAAAATCGAGACTATAACTGGACAGTTTGGATCGTGAAATTCAAAAGTGACCAAGTTAGCACCCGTAACACCGAAAGAACAGGAAAAAAAATGCCAAAACTTTATGCAACCAAAGTTTTCAAGAAATTGGAAGGGGCATATCTCACACCTGTACAAAACATACTCGTTCAAAAAGAAAGCTGGCAGAAAATATATTACATTTAACTAATAATCTCCCACATAAGCAAAAAGAGCAGGTTTGTAGTGAGCTTATACATCAAAAAGAAAAGAGTGTATTATTATCGACACGACATAAAGTTGATTCATTGACTGTAAGTACAGGGGGGCGGAAAAGAAAACTGTATTTCAAAAAATCGGCTAAACCTATCGTGCTTTCTTTTGAAAGTTTACATACCTACCAGGTTCATTCGGGTTCTTCAGGACAACAAATGAAAAAATTGGCTACATTTATTCAAGCAAATGCTGGTCGAAAATCAATACCTGCTTATTATTCCAAGCAAGTTGCAGGAAGGGCTAGAGTTTTGGAAGATTTTTACAGATATAAGATATTAGATTTTGATATTGAAAAAAGTGAAGTTCAACAGAAAAGACCTGTAGTGTGGTGTAATTCAGAAGAAATACTGGAGGAGGTTATTCAGAGGAGAAGTTTAGTTGGTAACTATGTCATCAAAATAACGGCAGATGGTGGGATTTTTTAAAGTGTGTATGACTATACTGCCGGAATATTATGTGTCTGATCCAGATCTTGCTACAGATACTACTCGGGTAAAGAGACTAAAGGTTGAAAAATTAACCAGTGTACATAAATTAATCATGCTGTGTATTGTGCCCCACATCAAAGAAAGTTATGAAAATGTCAAAAAGCTGTTCGACTTAATAAAGATCAATGATATTCCGTTTAAGTTCGTTGCGGATTTTAAATTGCTTCTGATCATTAATGGACAACAAACTTCCACCGCAACCTTCCATTGTCCATATTGCTTCGTAACTTTACAAAAGTTAAAAACTCGGATCCAACTCGAGAATGATGAACAGGATCTTGTGGTAAAAACATACGGAAATTTGCGACAAGATTACAAGGAATTTATATCTTTTGGTGGCAATAAAAAATCGGCCAAATCAAGCCACAGCACCATCAACCCTCCGTTATTTTCCGAGCCCGATGACATGCCTGTTATTGAAAAATGCGTAATGCCGGAATTGCATATATTGCAAGGTCTTGTTAACCACATTTTTGGAAAGGCCTAGTGCCTCTTTTAGGAAAAGAAAAAGCCTTAATCTGGCCGCAGCATCTAAAATTAATATCTAAAAACTACCACGGTGATTCTTTTGAAGGCAATGCATGTAGGAAGATGTTGAAAGAACCTGATTTTTTATTAAGTCATAAATTGTGTGATCATATTGGTGGTCCGCTAGCCCTAGTCCCGTATGTGTCAGCTTTTAAAGTACTCGATAAAATAGTTCATGATTGTTTTTCGAATATGAGGCTTGGCGGAAACTTGCATATGTACATAACTGAGTTAAAAAAAATCTCTTGCGGCCACAGACGTAACTGAAACATTAAAGATTCACATATGCCTAAATCATCTTGAGCAATCCCTAGAGTTTTTGGAGCGAGAGGAAGGATTTGGTATTTGGTCGGAGCAAGCAGGAGAATCAATCCATCGCGAATTTTTGAAGTTCTGGAACCGGCGAAAATTAAATAACCTCATGGACCAGAATTATGCTGTGAAATTAAAGGAAGCGGTAGTGGACTTTTCTTCCAAGCATATTTAAAAAATGTATAACTTATTTATTATTATGTTCCTTGTGTTAAATAAATTTTTCTTTCTTAAATATGTATTCTGCCAATTTAAAATCACTTTGGATCATTTAATTTTGTTTTTCTTTTAACTTTCTAATCATCACCCATAAAATGGGGTGGTTTTTCCTCAAATGAACAGCTACGATTTAAGGATGAAGTTTTATCATCTCAGGGGGAGCTAAGGAAACACCGGATGCTAATGAGTTGTTTAGGCATCGTGGGAAAACCTTTTTTTCTTTCCAGCCACCTGTGTTAAAGGTCCATTAATTCCGTGAGGGGTTTTTTAAATAAAATGTCCGGGCAAAGTTGTCTCTTTAAGGGGTGATATTGGGTGGCCTCCGCGTTCGCCTGATATGACCCCTTGCGATTTGTGGGGATCTAAAATCACAAGTTTTTAAAATTCGTCCACAAAATTTGAAAAATCTAAAGGCAGCAATAAGGCAAGAAATCAACCCAATTCCGCAAGACATGGCGCGCAATGACGAGCTGTCGTAATAGGCTTCAAGTGTGCATTGGCAATAACGGCGGTCATTTAAAAGACATTATTTTTTAAACATGAAACTAAAAATAAAAATCTTTTTTCTTAGTTTGATTTTTATTGACATCCCAAATATTTCTGACAGATTCATTATGATGACTGAAAATGGCATGACTCTTTAAACATGGGGCAACCTTTTTGCCGCACCCTGTATAACCCATTGCTGCTCCGAGTACTGAAGTTTTTTTTAAACAAGATCCACGTTTTGATACTCCTCTTTTAATTTCGTTGAATGAGCGATAGGCACACCTGCATGTTTATTACCAATATTTAGTAAAACACATTTTAAACTTAGAGCTGTCCATAAACAATCTCCATTCTTCGGCTTTGTACCTTGAGAGCCCCAGTTTCATTAGAAGGCCACCAATGTTATTACAATAAACTATATCATTTCCTGAGCTTAAAAATGAAAGAAATTCTTTTTCGCGATCACGA